TAAATTTGCAATTGGAAAAACATTGAATTGTAAACCAAGGACTCTAAGTCTTGATATCTTTCCTGTACACTCCCATTCAGTTAGAAGGTGTCAGTTGTTGACGAGTTAGAAAATATAGGGAAATAATTTTCCGTTCTTCTCTTGGCGATATAAATAATCTGATGAAAATGCAATACTGACCTTTTTTGTTCTAACGTCCACGTAACAGCATCGTAAGTTAAACGTGACAGGCAGTTGCTGAAAGTTAATGGAAGATTATTTTATAGACTTTCTCACTTGTGGATTCTTTATTTCTCCATGCTGATTTCTTAAAAAATCAAAACTAGTTAGAGACCAGGGACACTCGTTCCATCGTAGCTTGGGACTCTTCATCGGTGCCTACCCCCCACCCCATCAAGGATTCAGACTGAAACAGTCAGGTAAAAAGACCAAACTCGTTGACCATTCAGCCACTTGGGCCGGAGTTCAGTAGTCTGTGAATTTCTTACTTTCATTTGCCCCGACCGACAGCTGCTATCTTGACGTGTTGGTCTGGCTTGTATGTGGCAATGACCCAACAAGCTACACTAACTGGAAATAAAGTTACTGTAGGTCCTACCATGCCAGGAAGATTGTTAGTATAGTGATTAGACCAAAAGTAATTACTGGCATTGTGTAAGAATTTCTTTTTTACACTATTCTGGGGTTCTGTGGGCAAAGTCGTACTGCTGGGGAATAAGTATGTAACAGCAGTAAGGTGTTTCCCTCAGATGACTAGCTTACCAACTATGCTGCCTCTCCACTCTGGATACAGGGGTTAGGAAAGGTCAACCCCAAAAATTGTGTATCCTGACATCCCACGGTGGTCCGTAACCGGTGGTAAGTTACTATTAAGGAACCAAATCTAAAAGCTGCTTTATACAGGCCGTGTGTGACCAGCCTCAAGCACTTGTCCCTTGAGCTCTGTGGTCACGCAACATTAACCCTCTTTCTGCTTCAGGCACCCCAAGAATCAGTCAACTTCCACGGTATGGATGGCCAGGAAGGAACAACTGCCCATACACTTCCAAGAGCACACGAAGCCCTCCTGAGCATCATTCTCCCTATCCCTGTCATCCTCATCATCTCGTTTTCCTCCTGCTATTAATATTATTCTGCAGGCTAGTGAGTGCCTTCAATCATTCTGTGACCATAAACAACGGTGGGAGAAATAGAAACACTTCTGACAGCCTCTTAAAGTCACGTCACCAACTTAATATAGGAACATTCAACGTTAGGATCATCTGATAAATCGGACAGCAAACATCACTAGCAAGAAATTCGGCATCTCCGGCCGTGGATGTATGTTGTATTTCGGAAACAGGCATACGAGATTCGGGCGTGGTCACTCACTTAACCTCACCTGGTCAACAAGGTTGAATCTGCAAAATTCACCTTAAGGGTGTCAGGAGACCCCTCAGATAGTTCGCGAGGACTCACAGGTGTTGGGATAGCATTGAGTGTTAGAGCAGCAAAATCACTTCTTGACTGGACCCAAGTAGATTGTCCTATGTGTGCGGTCAGTCTGGACGGATTCCTTAATAGAAGGAAGAGTGGTGTTACCCATTGCTGTCTTTTCGTAGTCTCCGCTTACGCCCCAACAGACTGCAGTTCGGATGAACTAAAGGATGACTTCTACTAGAAACTTTTCAATTCGCTGCAGAAAGCAAAACGTTCAGATATAGTTGTTTTAGCAGGCGACTTCAGTGCCCAAAGAGGGAACTTGCGCCAGACTGAGAGGTTTATATCTGATACGTATGGACTTCCCTGCGGACGAACCGACAACGGTGATCGTCTTATACAGTCCTTCTCAGATAATCATCTGTTCCTGGTCAGCACTAACTTTAGGCACAAAGAGAGATATTGCGTAACCTGGCGACCTCCATCACCAAACCAACGCTGGACTCAGATAGACAACATAAGGACAGGGTATAGTTGCGAGGGTCAGTAGGAGACTGCCGCTCCTTCTGAAACACGTGCGTACACTCTGATCACGCCCTCGTTCGCGCACGTTTATGCTTACTTCTAAACAAACATAAAAAATTGTCGGCAGCGAAGCAGTTACATCCCCAACTATGTCGAGACTCCGAGTCCCTTTTTAAGGAAGAAATAGCGAAACGAGTATTTGAGGTCGACGGCAAGAACCCTCCTGAGGAAGTCTGGCACAACATACAGTTAGCTATAGACACAGGTGTAAAGGCTGTTAATAAACTAAAACCAAAAGTTAGTAAGGGCCATTAGATATCTGCCGCCTCATTCGAACTGATTGACACAAGAAGACTGATTCCGGCGATCTCGAAATACGATTCGGAGCGAAAGCTACTCAGACACAAACTTACAAGAAGTCTTCGTAACGCCCGTAAGCAGTGGTGGGTGACAGAAGCGAAAGAGATGAAAAAAGCATCGGCGATTCGTAACACCACACTATTTAGACTCATCAGGGAAACTGGTGGTAAAAGGCAAATGATAAGTGAAAAAATCTCTGAGAAAAATAGCACTACAATTAGCTCCCGGGATAGATGACTGGAACGCTGGAAAGAACACTTTGAGAAGCAGTTTAATTGGTCTACAGCCCCACTCAACTTACGTAGCATCCAACACCTCCCCGAATGAGATATAGGCCTAGGTTTTCTGTCCCTAACTGAGGTTATAAGCCTGTCACTAGTCTGAAACGAGGCAAAGCAGCAGGACTTGATGGAATGACTCCAAAGGTATTTAGGTACGGTGGATACAGTTTAATGTCTGCGTTAACTAAGATACAAAGCAGCGTCTGGGAATCATAGGAAGTCCCGGGAAGAGGATGTATTGATCATATCTTCACCCTCCGATAGATTCTAGAACATACGCATTCCTACCGGCGTCCAACAGTCATTATATTTCTTGACCTAAAGGCGGCATTCGACTCTGTTGACCGAGAAGTTCTCTTGCGATGCTTGACTGTAAAGGGAATGCCGAGAAAATACATTGCACTGATAAGTGCACTCTACTCGAACTCATGCAGCCAAGTGAGAGCTTACAGCGAGTTGTCATCTGAAGTGGTGACAACTAGTGGTGTCCCACAGAGATGCCCACTATCCCCATTTCTATTCAATTTCATCATAGATGTACCAATGGACTTAACCCTAAGTGACTTCAGCGACTCAGGATTGATTTGTTACCAGGGAAAAATGTCGTTGACTTAGAATATACATACAAATGATTTAGTCCTAACAGAATACAGAGTCTTCTGGACACCTTGAGCTGCAATCTTCGGATGTTTGGCATGCCATTCGCTCCCGTCGAATGTAAGATGATGCTACAGGACTGGACTGGACTACATTGACTGACTCCTAGCTTAAAAATGGGGAAGTGGTGAAGTGGTTCATAGAGCGTCTTGACCACTTCATTTATTTGCGGAGTTACATCAGCCAGTCCCATCATCTCATTAACGGCTGATGAAATCTCAGCGCGGATACAAGAGGCTCGTATCGCACATGTCAGTCTGCCCCATCTCTGGCGTGGACGTGATATCCGGCTGTCGATGAAACGGTGTGTGTACTGCTCAGCAGTTCGCTCTGTCCTCCTTTATGGATGGTTGTGAGACATGATCACTGAAAGTGGAAGACATGAAAAAACCGGCCAGCTGTTTCTGGACATAGGCGTCTGCGTTCTCTCTTCCGTGTTAAGCAGTAAAGCAGGGTAAGCAATATTGGCATCGGTCGACTGCTAGGTAGGGAGGGGAAATCAATCGACGACGTTGAGAAGTTACATCGATTGAGATGGTTAGGACATGTGTTATATATGCCAAGGCATCGGCCGAAAATATTAGCTGTCATAGGATCAGGTTGGAAAAGATCTAGTGATTTTCAAGTCAAAACATGGCATCAGTCAACAGTTAGTTTAAACCAGCGACGTAGGGATGTGTAGAGTGGCTTCCTGGTTGGGGTCCTGGGGATGGTAAGAACCAGTGACGGCTGGAGACAATCGGTGATATGGCTGAAATTCTTTCTCAATGGCTGGTGCAGATGCATCTATTCTCTGTGATTTATGATATTCCAAAAGACTATATTGTTCTTCCATATTATTCTCTTTGTTGATGCCTTAAATGGTACACATATCACACAATTAACACACATACAAAGGAGGCAAAAGTACATTTATGAATATTTGACCCTTAAGACACAATTGAGTATACAAAGATGGACACATGTTAGTTCTCATTGTATTTCAACAGCTTTTGTTCCGTATTAATAACATTTTGGTGAAAAACAGATGAAAAGGGATATGTGATTTTTGGGGTAGGAATTATTCACTTAGGCCCACTTACACACATGCTCACAAATAATATACACACACATTGAGAAAATACACACCTTTTGTTACTTCATTCATTCACGTGTCTAAATCAGACACATAATTGGTTGAAATTTGACCAATGAAATTCAAGAATTATTATTCTTTTATTCTATTAATGGACGAATTGCAACATAATCTGGCTAATATGCCGAGGTATGCATACTTGTGTGTATGCGTGTCAATTAGATTGTCACAATACCATCATGTCTTAGAAGTGGGGATCAATTGTCGAAACAATGAATAAATCCTACCGCTATTATCATCAGAATTATTTTAACTATCATTTACTCGTTAACACATACATATTTATAAAGTACGGATTACAAAATAGCATTCACTTCAACTTTAAATGCATACCGTTTTGTTTTCCACAATAAACTATATGTTGGATATTTAATCAACACAACTCATGCTGGAAATTACTTACACGCTATCTGGTGAAAACTGTCAACCAAGCGCCACAATGACATTGATGCATACTTGATTTGTATGCATCATTATATACGAAAGCATGTGAAGTCATGAATTTCAAACTGAAACACAAGTAAAACATCAAAGTGAAAAGAAAGGAGAACGCATAAGAATTTTGAACAAAGACTCAACAGCTAACAACTCCAGAAAGAGAACGTCCTGTCGTCTAAAACACAATGAGTACATCACCAGTCACCCCAGTAAACAGTGGTAGTATGAATCAAAGCATGGAATCATTGCCATTGCCTTCAACTCCAATTGGAAATAGTATGATTATTATAGGCGTTTTTCTAGCTAGTGTTTGTATTGGTACAGTGTTGGGTAATCTCTTAGTTGTTTTAGCTATTGGTTTGGTGAAAAAATTACGAACGCCGAGTAATTTCTTAATTGTTAGCCTAGCTGTAAGCGACCTACTCGTCGGCCTATTAGTTATACCACTTGCCACACTGAATGAAGTACGTGGTTACTGGCCATTAGGAGAAGGCATGTGTGATATGTACATTTCATTTGATGTATTAATGTGTACAGCGTCAATTTTAAATTTATGTGCCATATCAATTGATCGATACTTAGCTATTACACGCCCCTTACAATATGCTGCTAAACGTACACCGAAACGTATGATGTTAATGATATTATTAGTATGGTTATTTTCAGCTTTGATTAGTATACCACCAATGTTTGGTTTTAAAGAACCATTTGTACCTGGTGTATGTCAGTATAGTTCAAATATGATATATCAAGTTTATGCTACATGGGGTGCATTTTATATACCATTAATCGTAATGCTTGTATTATATGGACGTATATTAATGTTGGCGCGTCATATGGCACAAGCAGATGCTAAACAAAAACTTGTCACAGAATCTGTAACAAAATCGTCTACATTTAATCATACACAATATAATGCACACAGTTCACTTGAAAGTGATAACAATAATGAACAATTTAAAACTGAACAATTTCAAAGATTAAACCAATCTACAGATTATAAATCTAATGGACAAATAAATAATGTACAGAATAATAATAGTATGCTGACTAAAGAGAAATATCCTCTGCCTCCATCAGAATTATGCCGACGGCGAAAACCCCGTCCACTGAGAAGATTTAGTTATCATGGGGAAGGTAATCAAAAATCGTCAGATATGTCGACGACACAAACAGTCAGAAAGCCCCGTGTTGTCTCTGAAAGTTCTTCTATGCTCTCGTCTATTGAACAATTTGAACAACGTGTTAAAGAGTTAAGACAGTTGCGAGCGGAGTTTTTCGCTGCACCGTATACACGACACTCGATTAGCATTAATTTGGCACATTTAAAAAATCGAAGTATTCATAAAAAAGATGAAAATTTAAATTCCGTAACTGTATCAGATCATACTGCTAATTACAGTAATAATAACATTACTAATCAACCGATGACACCAATGTCTAAAAATGACACATTTCAACTAACTGATACAAATCGATCAAGAAATTCAATATTCTCCCCACCACTTCTTTCGATTTCTCATTATTTTGATGAATCTAGTCATATGAATAGTTTATCTCAGATTTCTGAAGCTGCTCCAAATCTATACACACCTAACACTGTCAACTGTGACAAATATAGCAGTAATCTTATAAGTCCTGAGGAAATAAGTTGTAATATAATGATGTCATCACAGGAGACTACACCACTGATAGTCAGTGGGATGGGTACATTTTCCACTTCAGCGACAACAGTTAGTGGTAGGAGAGATGTTTATTCCCCACCTTCATCTTCCGGTACACCACCATTATCGACAAGGTTAGTCGCGACTGGGCTTAACCAACCACAACCACCAACAATGTCAATGCATGTAGCACGACCACGGCAAAGACCCTTTCATACACCTAGAAGATCGTTCACCACGGCGAATGAATACTTGCACAAAAATCGTCCATTTCTCTTAGGTTTACCTGATTATACAATTGATCGACGATGTAGTACACCGTCTACTTCGCATAATTTCCCTTGGAATCAGATTACTGGTCGTCATGTTCGAAAGGATGTACAACGTTCATTGGGACAAATGACAAATACACGAACTACAACAACTACAACCACTATGACTAATGATAATAACAATAATAATAGTAATGTTGATAATCATGGCAATATTACAAGAGCTAGTAATACACTACAGCGTAAAAAATCCTCTGATTACGATCAGATATCAAATTTTAATGTGACATCACATCTAGGCAGTCGTACACCAAGTTGGGCTTTTGCTAAATTGCCAGTGAAAAAACGCCATTCACGTCATCAAAATGAATCGAAGGCGGTTAAAACACTTGGAGTTATTATGGGATGCTTTTGTCTATGCTGGTTACCATTCTTTATTATTGCTGTGAGTTTCTCAAATAAATTTTCCTTGATTACACTGATAAATAATTCCATCTTTTTTTTTTATCTCATTTGATTTTATTTTCCACCGATATATTTTTGGTGCTTTTGTGTGTTGATTTCTTCATTTTACTCAGTTTCGCACTTTTAAAAAAATGGACTTTTACCTTGCGTGACCTTGATGACTTACCAAAACTTAAGCATTACAGTGTTTGGCAACTTAAGTGTCAATAAATTTTCGTCTAGAAGTTTAAACTGAAAAAAAACGACGAGATGAAAAATCATAAACAAAATTCAGTGTATCAGTGAATATTTAACAAGTGGAACATTGAACCCATTGAATACGTTAAAAAGACAAAGTGTACTTTACTGTTTTCCTCCTATCGTCTTACATTATTAGTAATAGTAAACATGGAAAATGAAACAAAACAAAATCTAAGGCGTAGACATTACGCTTAATTCTGTGTTTGGTGACTGATAGTAGAATCTTGGATGCACACTTCGTCTTATTTATGACTCGTCAGCTAGCTTTACTTGCAGTCCTCAGTAGAAGCATCATTACTCACTGGAGATTCCAAGTATATCTGAATGACGAGTTTCAAATAGGACGAAATACGCATCCTGGATCAGACTGTTAGTCACCATCTGTCCTTAGACATTGTTGAAGCGTTTGTACTAAAAACCGACATGTCAACAGAGATAGACCATTTCGGTCCAATGTCCAATCAGTCAGGGGAAACAGCTGTGTGCTATACTTTCACTGTCTTGATGGCTATGTGTAATCAATACTAAACGATCAAGGTAACACTAAGTTGCTGGTCTAAAGCCTGGTCGCTTAATCTAGATTGAACGTGTAGTCAGCACTGTGTTTCATTAGATTTGTTTACAGTACTCACGTCTTATATTCTGATCGCAAGGTTTTACACTGTTATTGTTTAAATAGTATCATAAACGCTAAATAAAGATTCTCTTATCAACTAGGTTTTGATAGTGTTTATTTATTGTCATTTTCGTTGGCTGAAATTGTTATCTCATGGAAAATTTTTTTTTACAAAAATAGCCGATGTGAATAAGATAATAGCTGTAAATTAGAAAGAGCATTGTAATTCCTCAGCCATGAACACATCGAAGACTCCACTGACTGACTGCAGTTTTTGGCGACTTATTGAACGCCACAACCTAGTGGTCGACTAGCGACATACTGCCCTTATAATCTCTGATGACTCTAAGGTGATAAATGAATGGACATTGCTGAAATGTTCCCAACTAGAATACAACAGCTTTTTGTCTTCACTTATTATTGGTATTCAATTTTCCCGTCTAAATGATTTTGGTTTGTAGTGAAAATGATCACGAAATCAGTCAAATTCCTTCAGATGCGATATCTGAGATTTTTGTACTATGAAAAATAAACAATATTTTGTAAAAAACTTTTTAACTGGTAAGTTGTAGAATTGAGATGTGATTCGTTTCACTTGAGACTGGATATACCTGCATCCTAGCAAGTGGACAGTGTTTCAACCGGAACTCGAACCAAGCACCCATCAGTTGAAATACTATAAAGTTATTCCATTAAAATTAGTCCCTCACATCTATCTAAAAACATAAAACAATTGGAAGTCCAAGATTCAATAAATAACAAATGTGGTGATTGGAAATTGGATACAACATTGTTTGTTCACTTGGCAAACATAATAAAATAAAAATGTTTATTTCTACTACTGAAATCCTACTTAAATGAGTGGCTTCCCATATAATATGCATTGAATTATATTAATGTTAATCAACTTGTTGACCACACGTTAAACATGATCGTTATCAAGTCATCGGTAGTTGAAACTGAACACTTTGTGATGACCAGTAAACGCAACTAACTGACTCCTACTGTAGTTGGTTGACACTTCGAATGATTAAATGATAACATCATGACTTTCAGTATACCTTCACGCATCGAGGTAATAGCAGCCGACTATTAATTAATATAAAGATTCTCCGTCTAGAATTTGCTTACAGACTTCTCAGTTATCCAAAAACATGCGTCTTTTATGTATAGAAAACATTAGTCTGCAGAGAAATGTTTATTCACTCGATAGTAGACACATTCACTCTCTAGTTGCTCCCTAGTAACCAGTCAGTGTATCCATCACAGGTGGATAAAGCTCAATCTTGAGCTCAGTGGTAACCTATTTAGCTGTAACACACTTGACGACATAGGTTAGAATACCTTAGGGGAAATTAGTTCTTTCGACGTGGTGGATACACCATGGCAATATAGCCGAGTAATCACGAAACCCAAGTGAGATGGGGCTTCCCGTCAATTGTCTTCAATCACCTTGCATAGATTACGACTTCCTTTTTATGAAGAGATTGCATCATTGGCTTGTGTGTACGGATTTCTGTAGGCTGTGATAGTTTAATTCTTTAGATCATTAAAATATGGTCAGCTGAATGAAAACAAACTGTCTTATAGGTATTTGAATAATTAACTGATTCATACAGCAATATTGAAGGAAGAATTCGGCTTTGTTATTCTAACCATAGTCTAATAATATGTGAACATTTTATTCATCTAATTAAAAAATACTCACTATTCCACATAAAATGAAATGACGTCAGCAGAACACAAAGGAGTAACACAATGAATGGGATATTTCGCTCATTATTTCGGTTGAAAAAATAAATAAAACAAAATACATCAACAAACGAATTTTTATTCATTCATACACCAAAAAAATACAAGTTTATTCACTCTGTTTACATGATATATTAAAATATTAGAGCATTAAGAATGGCACCTCTTTAAAATTATAAAGTGAACTGGAACTTATTACTGTGACACGATTTTACATGAAAATGTAACAATTCAAAATGTTTGTCCTTTTGGGGGCGTTCGTCACTGTTCCCAATTATTCCCTGAAATCTAAATTGAAGAAGTGCTTACTTTTATTCTGCCCGTGTAGGTGTTTACGTCACTTTCTTTAAAGCTATAGATCCTGAGTTTGAACTCACGTCCATCTTCTGTCTAAACAACTGGATCATATTACATGAAGTATGATTTACTGCTTAGTGTTCAGACTTGTAAGAGATTCACTAACCGATAGGTGTTCAAATGGAAACTAATACATATAACTGAATATATAGTAGCTAGTTCTAAGTTATAATATTAATCGTTCCTGGAGTTCCAAATGGAACACATAGTTTTAGTAGAATATCTCCACTTTGCTTGGTTCTCTGCCATCATTTTCAGCTTGCTGTATGACCGCTCACAAGTTTTTATTTTCTTCTCACAGACTCACAAAGACACCTAACCCCGCTCATTCTGGCTCCAATCAACGGTCTGGAGCACAATGCCCCTTGGAGTATGTCTAATCCGCATCTATCTCATTCAGCACTTTTTCTGGACAATCGGTTTTTGTCTGGTTAGCTGATTGCTAGAGTTTCTTGTTGCATATCCTTTCCCTACCGGCCATCAAGTATTTGTGATCTGAGTTGAGTTTTGCTATCATCAACTGAAGGAAATTGATTCCCAGTTCCTGACAGCCTTCTATGCCGTTCATTGTAACACGGTGGTCACACTATCAGTGTGATGGTGATTGTTGTTTACATGACCAGAGTAGATTATCAGGTCTAAATTCCATTCAGTCTTACAGATTCCTAAGACTTCCATACCATATTTTCTCATTTCTTCTGCATTATGAGTAGTCTTACTCACCTTAAACATGATATGGGCATTTCGATTGATTCTGCTTACTTTCGCCTTCTTGAAAAGCAGATACATCGATCAGCTGGATACTTGAAGTCATTTTTTACCCTCAGGCTCTGTCCATCCTCGGAGTGGGGAGTCTTCCCGGTTGCAGTAGAGAATAAGTTTATTTCCTCTGTGCTTTGAAACTCTAGTAACGATGGTTTTGCTTTTAGGGGTGAGGTTGTTAACGCTTCACCTAGACTTACTTCTTTTCCTGGCTTAGGACTGGCTAGTGGACTTGGAGGTGGGGATTTAACGTATAGCAATGCACCTTTATTCCTGAACTATACTTTATCAATTACTACTACTCGTGGCCCAAGTGGTCTAGTGGATAACGCTTTGGCGTTTGAAACTATGGGCACTGGGTTCGAGCCTCGGTGGGAACATCATCACTCACTGAGAAATGCAGGTACATCCAGCTGACGAGTCCCAATTAGGACGAAATGCGCATCCTGGATTCCACTGCTAGCCACCATCCACCAATTGTATACTGTCCATACTGTTTAAATAAATAATTTACACCATTCAGATGTATCTGTTCACCTAACTCATTATACTGTCAATTTTGGAGGATTAGCTAAGCATAGTTATGTAAGCTGTTCGGATCAACTGAAATAAATAAAGGTGTCTGATATCACAAATCCATGACAGACTGATGAATAGGTATTCTTTTAGCATTTGGTCATTAGTGAGTTGCAGTGAAGAACGGGAAAGCATAAAGTGAACACTATGTCTGGACAACAGAAAAAGAGAAGAAAATCAAATTACATCCCATCATCGGGGATTAATCAGTTGAATGTGGTATACTAGCCGTTACTTGGGGGAATACACAATGACTCATATCATAATTTTTGGTTTACATGTAGATGTGCCTATTTCTTTTTAAAGATCTTTTTCACTACATTATGTATTGGTTGGCATTATCTCTCTCCCTCTCTTTTTCTCGCTTCCTTTATCCCTTTGTTGAATGAGTTATTAATAGTAAGGTACTTATATTTCTTTCAAATTCTACTGTGAGAAATTCCTAGTGATCGTTACGTAATACACATGTCGTATAAAAGACTGCTGATCCAGTCCCTTTTTCAGGTTCTACAGGGAAAGAATAGTTGGCATTTTTAGGCATTTGTTCATTTCTAAATGTTCTCATCAGTGTTTCTTCTTAAGATTATAATTTTTGAAGGAAAAAGTGAAACAAAAAACACCTCACACTGCACAAATATTGAGAAGTGATCTCTTCAACGTGCACAGCTGAATGTTAT